TTCTGTCGTTCCTTGCTCCCAGACTGAAGCGTCCGATAAATTCTTCTGAACCATCTCCTTTTCCGAGTGTGGCATTGAAGTCTCCGAGGACCATCGTATATGTTGTCGTTTGTCGCAGTGCGACCTCGAGTCCTTCACAGAAACGTTCAGTGTCTTCCTCATCTGGTGCTGAAGTGGGTGCGTAAACGGCGATGAGCTTCATCGTAGTTTTTTCACCAGTACGGACAACAAGCACTCCGATGCGCGAAGACTTGATTTCGCGTGAAATAATTCTACTTGTTGCCGTTGGTCGTACAATGAATCCAGCACCGCCCACTCCTCTGTCTGCTGCTCCCAAGAAGACCTGTGAGCCGTCGTTGTACTTTCCAGCTGATGCGGTTTTCCGTCTGGTCTCACTGATTGCAAGAATGTCGATGCGGATGTTGCGGAGTTCGCGCAGCAAGAGATCGACTGCTTCTTCGCTGCTTAGCGTTCTTACATTCAAGGTGCCCGCGCGCATAAAAATACCGGGTGACGGTCTCAATACTGCGAGATTCTTAGCACCCTCTGCTCCCTCGTCAATTCCTCCACCACCGTCACTGTGAAGGCCACAGGGAGCTGCGCAGGGCTGAGGGCCATTTCTTTTCAACTTTCTTTCCATAGTTGCTTAGGCAGCATCGCCTGGTGGTCAGCCTTCTGGCGATCCTGGCATTCTCTTCGTCCCCTGAGGGGCTCGTCAGCTCAATGGCTCATCACAGCAGGGGCACTTTGGCAAGGATTTAGCCGTTTGGAGTTTCATTGGTGTATGTGTTGAGCGTCACCACCTCATCTCTAAGCGTTGCCACTTCCCGGCTACGATGAGGCACCTTGCCTTCGAGAAGGAGTTATGAACTTACACGAAAAAAATTTTGGTGGGCTCGTACGTGGGTAACACGCTTGCCCGGGGGCTGGGTTTGGGCCCGCTAATACCCAGTTGAACATTACCCCAAGATTTCAGCCTTCTTGCTTCTCAGATCCCCGAGTTATGAACTGACCCCAAAAAAACTTTGGCGGGCCCGTACGCGGGTACCACGCAGGTTTTGGCGCCCATTTTGGGGATTGGGGCGGCGCGTGCATGTAGATTAAGTTCCCGAAATTTCAGCACCGCAGCTTTTATAGGTCCTGAGATGAAATTGCGTGACAGACGCACACACAGGCAACCTCTCGTCAATATGCGTTTTTCACATTGCATTGCTGCAAAAAACGCATAAAAATTATTCTGGACCTATTGCAGATTCCAAAAATATATGATGAATATACGAGCAGTCGTGTACTAACAATGGAATATTGTGATGGTGCACAAATAAACGATGTAGATTATTTCACAAATAATAATATAAATCGTTATGAAGTATGTGTCTCTCGTTTACCTGCTTTTTTTTTTTGACGTGGGTTTTCAATAACCATTGCGAACAAGTATATTTGGCTTCTAGCATCGGTGCGTTTGTTCGCCAGTAAGCGTTCCATTCGAAGCGACGTTGCAGTGATAATGCTGTAAGACGATTGTAGCATCCAGGTTGACCTTGGCTGCCAGCGTGTCGAAGGCGCATTGGCGCATTGAATACAGAAAGCAGGAAGAGAATGAGGAAAGGAGGCAAGAGTGAGACATTAAGTCGTATGCTTCTTAACTCAGCAATGCCACTGGGCCTCGTCATTATGACGGTCGCAGTGTTTACTGAAAAAGGAAGAGAAAAAAGAGAGAAAGACGCAAGGAAAAAAAGGTAAAAGCTGTGACTTTGGGATTACGGATTGTTTCCACTTGCACGAGATATTTAGTCAGCGATGTAACTGTGTTCTGTGCCAGCACATTGCGGCGGTATACCGTTTCTATTTGGTTTACCTGGTTCTGGCAATTATCGGTACTTATGGCGTTTTCTTGTAAATTAAAAGCAACAGAATTTACGTTTTTTTTTTTTTTTTTTGCTGTCTTGTGGGTATAATATGCCGTCATTTAAGTTTTCCTCATGTGCATGTTGATTTGGCCAGTTACCTTTTATAACGGGGCATTTCCATGTCGTCAGCGCAAGGCAACATTCCCGCAGGTCTTAAACTGTTTTTAGTCTTCGTCCTTCTGAAATTGATGCTGAAGTCAGTCCTCATCCCTAAATCTCTTCAACGTTTGTTGGGGTAACCTCCTCCTCTTTGTAGTAGATGTTCCATTAGCTCGAAATATAGGTTTTCAAGTTGTTGGGCTTGACAGCAAACGACATGCAGCTGAAGGTGGGGTGAGAGAGGGGGGTGGGGGAGTCTCTGGTTTCATTTTTTGTCCAAAGATAATCGTTTTTTTATGGAGCGGGCTGAAATGAGCGTCAATGAGCGACGATTTCTGAGCCACTTTGCAAGAGCACATTTTATGCTTGGAGTCTTTTATGCTACAGTTGCAGGTCTGTCGCAAATTAGGCGCCTTATTTAGTGAAATGATATTTATCAATGGTTATATTCACTGCGACCCGCATCCTGGAAATGTTTTAGTTCGAAAAGCTATAGATGGACGCGTTTCGATCGTTCTTCTGGATCATGGCCTTTATCTGGTAAAGATTTTTTGAGACTTTAGGGTACTGCTTTAGTGCCTCGTATTTTGATGATCTTTCTAGGTCGAATCAAACACAAAAAAGATTTTTTCACTGCTTTTTTGTTTTTTTTTTTTTAAATTCCATTCCCCCTGAAGCTTATTTCCTTGCATTCTATTTTTAAAAAAAATTGCAGGATCACTTGCCAGTGGCGCACAATCGGTAGTAACACTCAAGCAAAATTGTGAATAACAGTTGTCCGGAAAACTGTTCAAGCCTTTTCTGTTGACTTGAGAATGAGTGGGCAGTGATTAAAGACTGTATTTAGTGAGAATTAAAGAGAACCAGAAAAAATGAACTCATTCGCGGCACTTAACAGTGTATTTTTCAGACAACGGAACCGGATTTCCGAATAAAATACGCAAAACTGTGGATTGCTTTGTTAAAGCCAGATTTGAATGAAGTCAAGGTTCGCACGTTTCTTCTTCCCAGCAAGATAATTCATGTTTCTTAAATTTTTGCTAAAAATGCGAGCAAAAAGATGAGTACGCCAGGTTTTTCCATTTTTCTATTTTCCAGGAATGTGCACAAGCAATGGGTGTGGGCGAACTGTACGGCCTTTTTGTCTGCATGGTAACAAATAGATCGTGGGATGCAATTAGTCAGGGCATCAACCGAACCACTGCCACAGCTGATGAAGTTTGCTTTTATTCATCTGAAAAAATTATTCCTGCAACTCACTACGTCTGTCTATCCCGATTGGAATAGCTCTGGGGATTTTTGATATTAATCTTAGCAAGAATTTCATTCTGTCTGAGAGGTGCATATGTTCTGAAGGAGTGTGTAAGATCATATATTGCTACAGGGGACAAGCGTTTGATGGCTGTCTTTTTCCGGTGATTTAGAAGAAATCTGATGACCGTTTTATGTCCTCTTAGCATGAATGATTTTGTACTGAAACGGTTCAAAAAATGGGGAAAGGTTTTTCCCCACTGGCTAATTTTTGAATGCTTTTGTGTTTGGTAGTTTTTGAACCTACGATATGTTTTTGAAAGCAGTGCTCTAAGCCTTCAAAATTTTTGGGTTGGATCAATAGATTGCTTTGGGTGGAACTGTACTTTTTATGGATTTTTGTGAGACCTAAGAAATTTTATGCAATCCCAGAGTTGCAGCGTCAAGAAATAAAAGCTTATGCAGCAACACTGATTCCTGAAATCTCACAAGTATTGGAGCGAATGCCGCGATCGATGTTGTTAATATTGAGAACGAATGATCTGTTGAGAAGCATTGAATATCGGCTAGGAACACAGGGACGTGCAGATACATTTGTGCAGGTTCGTGCCTAATGCACTGAATGATTTTGGATGCATCACCTGTTCTCATTTGAGACAGAAACTTGTTTTAACAGGATGCTACGCGAGGTAACCGGCAAATTCAGAAAACGAGTAACTCTGGTGCTCTTTTGGACCAACAGAATTATTGGGGTAAAATCGAATTTGGTTGTTCAAATGAGCTTAGTTTTATCTGTCGGCGCTAATAAGTTGAAGGATTTTTACTTTGCGCTAAAGCTGTAGCTTTCTTTGGGCAGTGTGTCGAATTTGGCCAGCGGGGAGGGGCTGGGGCTGAGGTAAAAATTGTTTCAACCAAAACCAGATAGCTGTATGAACAGCATGCTTTGCGAACATGTGATCCTGGGTAACAAATATAAGGGAGAACTCCCGCACGACTTCGTTTTTATACGTTTTTGCATCTGGCAGGTTGAAAGAATGGAATAGTACGGGATGAAGCATAAAGAGGGGCGGGAGGAAAGTTAGTGGAAAAGTGGAGGATGAGAGGAATGAAAACAGTGAGGTTGAAATTAAGCATTATAGGCTCTTTTTATTATTTATCCAATGCATCCATAAGTTGCGGCAA